GACCATATTATAATAAGTTTGGTTTTTAGAGAGAGATTTCCTTTCGAAATGAGAGAAAATTGAAATTATTTTATTTGTTTGTCTGTCATGACCCCCCCCCCCCTTTATGGGGGTGGTTGGGGGTGGTTGGTAGAAGAGATGTTCGGATTTTTGAAAATTTGTTCTGGGTACATTGTGAAAAAAATCGAAAAATAATAATATTTGATGTACTACGTACTCTTCTCAAGAAGGACAAAGCTGAAAAATGTGAAAAAAAAAATGGAGACAGAGGGTGAGAACAACCTTAATCTTGTTTTCTTTTTCGGCGGAAGAAAAGAAATGAGAGAATAATTTGGTTTTTGGTAATTTTATATAAGGTTTGATCTATTGGATGAAGAAGAATTTTGAGTTTACGGACAATTTTTTGGAAGCAGGAAGCATAAATTCAGCTTGTCAGGATCCTAAGTAATATGAAAAACTGATGATCTGGAACTTGAAAATTCGAAGAAAAAACTAGGACACCGGAAGTCCGAAAATTCAAAAATGACCCAAAAATAGGTCAAAGGAGCACAGGAATTCAAAATTAAATTTTCTCCGAAAAAATCAAAAACAGTGACCTCTGACGGTTTTGAACCCGGGACCCGTGTGTGACGGATCGCCAGAACCCCGCTACCGACTGCGCCATGCGGTCGCCGACCCGCATTTTGAAGAAAGCGCGTTTTCGACCGTATGGCGCAGCTGGTAACGCTCTAGGTGACCTGCCAGACAGGTCCCGGGTTCGAACCCCAGGATGTCAATTATTTTTTGTTTTTTTTTTTTTTTAATTATGGTAAAAATGACTGCAAACATCAAATTTTACGGTTATTTACGTATTTTCACTGGTTCGTGGACCACAAGGCTATCCTGTTCGGACACCCTTTTAGAGGATCCATGGGAAAATTTTGATTCCATGAGGAAAATCTAGAGTTAGGATAGGTCTATAGAAAAATCTGGTCGAATTAGACGACCAATAATCTAGGATCCTCCAGAATCACCAAAAATCAATTCTGAGCACATCCAAAAATTGTTCTTAGTTTTGCTTCCTTCCAGACACCTCTCCCAGGAATCACAAATTCTGAAGATCACACGACATTTCTCCAATTATTTTGATATCCATTTTTATTCTGGAAACCTTCCTGCACCAGTGGTCAAGGGGTGAAGCCCTTTTCTCTAACAAGAAGCTCTTTATGTGACCTCATTTTTCCTGTTTATCCATAAACACGATTTCAGAAAGAGAGAGAGAGAGAGAGAGAGAGAGAGAGAGAGAGAGAGAGAGAGAGAGAGAGAGAGAGATCTTTAATTTATATGCTAGTCATATTCAAATGGTGGTGTAGGGTGGAATAAAAATATAGGTTGAGTCACCTGACTCAATTTGGTCAGCTCAGCTACCTGACTGAGCCAGTCAGAATGATGTCTGTCAGAAGCTGCTAGACCTGACAAGCCACGCCTACCAGGGAACGCCCCCTTCCCCCCTCTACCTTCGTTCGTTCAAACCAAAATAACACCACTACCACCACCAGACAATGAAAAAGCAAGAAGAAAAATTAATTTGCTTCCCCTCCTCCATGCACTTGGTGATTCAGTCGCCGTCAACATCAGAACGTCATCATGTCCGGGGGACCACCACCACCAGCAAGAGAGACCTAATTAATGCGAAATGAATAACTAATCGAAGGGGAGGAAGAAGAAAAAAGAAGCGGAATGTTTAGAATGGTGAAGAGGAGGGAAAATTGGAAAGTGGGGCAGAAGAGCTGAGAGACAATATATTACTAGATAAGGATGATTTCCGAAAGTCTAGTTTGCTATATTTGTCATGAGTATCTATCATAAAATATGCTGTTCTAGGAGCGGTTTTCAAAAAAAAGGTGGCATTTTGCATGCTTGTGACATTTCCCCAGCATGGACCGGAGCCCGGATTCAAAAAATTTTGATTTTTTTTCAGAAAATGTTACATTTTTCACAGATAATTCATCAAAGAATTGAAAAATGCTTCGAAAACAGAAACTACTGTTTTCATGCTCAAGATAACCATGGAGCACAAAACTTGGAAATTTTTCTTCAATGTTTCAAAACTCGCGGTAATCATCCGGGCCGAGCAGGCCTCCAGGCCGGGCCGGTCCTCGGAAGATTTGCGGGAATGTCGGCCCCTCACAAGTATGGCATCTTACCTAGACTAAGGTTTCTAGCATACATGGTCGGACCGGACCGGGCTGTGCAAAAAAAACCGGGGCGAACTTCTGCAAACATGGCTTCTATTCTATTAAGCACGACGCAAAAATAAGAGTCCCAGAACTTCTGAAGATTCGGAAATTTGAAAAATTCTGAGCAACTCAAAAATCAAAAAAAAAAAACCTCTGGAGGCTAACCAAAATCATGCTATCCTGTCCCTTCTACAGTATTTTCCTTCTAGTAGACTCATTTAAAAAAATATTGAAAAACCAGAAAACGTAGTATGTTGAGCGTAAAATTCCCTATCGATTGGTATAGCTATCATATATGGTTGTTTAGGAAAATGCGACCTGAAATCCCCAGTTTTCCTAGATTTTCAACCTAAATTTTTCTGTGAGCAGCTTTTTGAAAATGCGAGAATTTTAGGATTTTCCATCTAAAAATGCGGCGCTAGTTATCTCAAATCTCCGAATCAAAAATTAAACATGACTACCTAAATTTCTGATTCAGCACCAAACTTCTAATTTCCTTCTACCATTCAATCTCTCATTAAATTCTAATTCCTAGTTACAGGAAAAAAGCTCAAAAACTATGGGTTATTTGTCCTCTTCTCCTCCTCTCTCCGGCACACACGGACATGTGATTCGGAAGGGGATGTAAGTGTGCCCTGCGCCTGGACAAGTGTGTCATTAGGTATGGGAAACAAGAGCAAAACTCACACTTCCAGACAAGGACAAGAGCCATGGATTCCAATTAGTCCTTGAGGGCTCGAGGGCTCGAGAGCTCTCGGAGTGAAGGTGTAATAAGAAATTGCGTGTGGAATTAGAGATAGGACAACAAATTCCGAAAAAACCGACTAGAGTGTTCTGGGAAGATGGGAATATTTCAGAATCTGTCTGGAAAAAAGTTTGAGCAAGTTCAGAAAAATCTGAAACTTGTGGAGGACCTAGGCTCCCAAAATAGCCCACGTCACCCAGAAAAAAAATCTACATAATTTAAGATTCCAGCTAAGAAAATCCTTGGGAGACACTTGAACTTTGAGATTTTTTTTCGCTAAATTCCAATGAAAAAACTCTGAAAATAACCATATAATTCATCCGAAACAAATAAAAAAGGATGAGATTCTAGTAAGATTTCAAGTGATTGCCTCAGGGGTAATATCATCATCATGATCATAAGAAAAAAAGGATCCTTCCCTTAGAAAAAAAGGAAAAAGAAGAAAAATTGTTTCAGATGAAAATGAATAATTGATATTCATATCCAGGACCCCTGGACCAGGGGGATGTATGAAAAACAGAATAAAGGGAAAAAGGACACCAAATGAATTTGGGAATATGTATGAAGATTATATGGTCATGTTTTCGATCAGGTTACATTGGGATAGGGCAAAACAGACTTTAATCTAGTTTCTTGGAGTCGTTAAAAAAATAGAGCGGGGTTACGGTAGTTTTTCGAAATGGGGACTGGAACGGGGACTAAACCCCTCGTGCTTCAAGACAAATGCACTTAGAGCCACAGCATACTTGGAACGGGCCGGACCAGGCCGTTTAGAAAATTTCATCGGCCCGGCCCGACCTAGCCCGGATTCAAAGCGGAATGTTCAAGAAGTATGGACCACGGGATTAGAAGTCTGCAATTTTTTTTCCTTAATTAACCGGGTTTTTCAGTTTCGAGAAGCCAAGAAATGGATTTTGTAGATCGAAAAATTCCCTGTCGATAGGTATAAATATCATAAAGGTTTGTGTCAGAAAGTTTGGCACAAAAGGCTCAAAAAGTCCAAAAACCAAAAATTCTAGTCCTGAAGACCTAGTTTTCCAGCTTCCGGATCACAATTTCTGAAAAAAACTCGGGCCTGAAAATCGAAGTTTCAGTCAACTCTATACGATATTTATACCAATCGATAGAGATATTTTTGATCTACAACCTGATATTTTGAGCTCGGTCGGTTATCGAAAACTGAGCCATCTGGGCTCCAAATCCTTTTGCCTATCACGCTAAACTACTCCAAAATAATCTCCCCCTTCTAGTCCTTTTACACATTACGAAAACGTACAAAAACTACATTTTAATCAGAACCAAATCAGAAAGTAATAGGTGCCAGGAGAGACACCGATTGGTACGAAGTGACACAAAAAATGTAGGATTGGATTGGGTCAAAAATAGATCCTGACTCAGAAATTTTTTTTCCGAATTTCGTCGATTAGGGTACGTGCAGAATCCCAGAATTGGGTATCTAGTTGCTATACAACGGGAAAGTGATAAGTGTCTGCAGTTAATCGTGATAGTGTTGGTGTTTGCAGACCCAACATCATATCTGACGACAGTTTTGGACCAAACTTTATGGAAGCAAAATAATTTCCAGTTCCTATTTCAAAAAGACACCACCACTACAACCTAAAAGAGCCAAAAACAAAAACCCATCTTCTATTTATAAGTGAGTCCTTCCCCTTCTCATCTGCTTTACCCCTACCACCAACCCCAACCAGAATAAAAACAGACTTGATCAAATTGGTATTCTTTTGGCGTCCCTCCTGGAATTCCGGGAAATCCATTTCCCACGTTTTTTTAAATTTACCAGGGTGTTCTTTCAAGCTGCTTTGCGTCTATTTTTGATGTCATAAATATAAGATGATCGGTGGTGGTGATGATGAAGGGATGAATGAATGACAATGAATGTGAATTTCTAATTGGCACATGGTCAGGGAGGAGTGGAGGAGGAAGAAGAAAATAACAGACATCACGAAAATTATAATTCACAGGTACCTTAGATGACGAGGGTTTGATTTAGAAAAAATAATGAAAAAAAAAAGATTTGCCCGCACCCGGAATCGAACCCGGGTGTCGAAATTCCAAAATGGGAGTGTTAGCCACTACGCCATGGGTGAAGCCACCACAATAAGGAGGAAGGGCAGATAAGAAAGAGGAGGAAACTGTCCATTGACAAAGGGGGAGGGCAGCAATCAGCAAAACTGCCTGATCGATTGCTCAGTATAGTTCTCTGAATCCTTCCTCCTCCACCAATCTCTTCTGAAAGTGACATTAAGTATATGTGCTGCTTCGAGGAAAGGAAATAATTGGAAATAAGTTTTTTATTGTCATGCAATCTTGGTAAAAAAAATTGTGCGGTTCTGTGATCTCAGTTTTGTTCAAGAAATCAGAAAAGTGACTCAAAAATTCTCAGAGAGCAGTAATTAAAGGGAGGGAGGAAGTGATGTGAATCGGGGATTTTGCACCTAGCTGATCTTAGATGTCTTTGGGATGCACTCAGGTTGTCTCGGTTGTCTTCAGAGTTATCAAAAAGTTGTCAACTAGAGAAATGATTATTGATTAATTCTGAGCATTTTATCAGTTGTAAACTTTTTCGTAACTTTAAAGACAGCTGAGATATACTGCTCTGAACAAACAGTAGTGAGATATGCAAATGCGCTTCGGTGAGAGACAAAAAATTATAATGTTACGCGCAAATTTGAATGGCTTCGTGAGTTTTGACCTAATTTTCTGCGAAAAAAATGATTTGAAAAGCAAAAAAATCACAAATTTAGGGGAATGCAAATGCGCTCCGCTAAAAAACTTAAATATGTTACGCGCAAATTTAAATAGTTTTGCGCTTTCAGATATAATTTTTTTGCAAAAATTTTAAAATTAGGCGAACGCAAACGCGCTTCGCTGAAAAAATCCAAATTCTTTTGTTACGCGCAAATTTGAACGATCTTATTAGTTTAATAAATTATTTGCCGATAATTACATCAGATCATGCTAAAAGTACGCGTGAAATTGTCTTGAAAAGCCAACAATTTTGAATTTACGCGCAAGAAGTCAACACATTTTTGGTTTCTCAGTAAAGCGCAATTGTATTTTCAGCAATTTTTTTTCAAAAATCGTAACCGTACAAAAAATTTTTCTTCTCTGCTCCAAGAATAAGAACACCAAGTTCCTTATTAGCCCAATTTTAGTTTCTGCAGTGGTCAATTCGTACAAAAACCACCACCAAAAAAATGCTGCTCTCCAAGGATCACGCGCTAGAACAAATAATGAAAAAAAGGAAAAGTTTCAAGACCCCCACAAACTTAATGAATTATTTAATATCAGAGGATTGTGTGACAAGGAGCACCGAAACTTTATATGAGAGCAAACAGAGTGAATAATTAAAATAAATCACAGTCAAACAATATGAATTTTATTCTCGTGATTCCATCGAAACCCGTAGATGAATCCCTCGTTTTTTGCCAGAATCGGTAATTTGTGATATTCGCAGATGAGATGTTCGCCGGCGTGGAATTCCGGAGACCGTGTTATACCGTCGATGGAGGAGCGCGTCTGGAAGGGATGAGATTAATGGGAAAATTGGAGAAGTGAAAATGGGCGAATACTCAACTGCTATGAGGGTGATCAACTGCTATATTATCGTAATTTCCAGTGTCTTATAGTTGCTACATTCAACTTTTTTGCTATGGATCAGCCGCCATTTTCGTTATTTCTGATGTCTCAACTGCAATGGCTATTTGTCTCACTATGCTATAGCAGTTGATCCATAGCGGAAGAGCCAAATATTTAGATACTAGTAGTTACAATATAGCAGTTGATCACCCCCATAGCAGTTGAGAAATAGCATTAGAGATAGCAGTTGAGTATCTACCTGAAAAACTACTCACACTTTCATGGCTCGTCGTCCGGATGGTTCTTGTTTTCCGGACGTTTTCTGGTCTTATTTCGTCTTCTTCTGGTGATTTCGTATCTGATTTTTTTGGTTGTTCAAGTGTCTCCTCATTATCGACCGGAGCAGTCGTCGTTTTGCTTTGGTTTTTGTATCGGAACTGAAATATTTATCTTTGGATTTTTTCAGCGAAAATTAGCTGCTATATTCTGCTCTTCTGCTATGGATCAACTGCTATGGCTATAGCAGGTGATCTATAGCAGAAAAGCTGAATATAGCAGTTGATCACCCCCATAGCAGTTGAGAAATAGCATTAGATTTTTTTAGCAGTTGAGTATCTACCAAGGAGCCCTGCCGAAGCGCCGTAGGCGCGTGGAGTTTTTGCAGCGACTTAAGAAATTATTACACGATTTCACACTAAATTTGACTATGTTTTCACTGAAGGCGCTGTTTATCCGGATGTCCTTTCTCCCTTTAAACTCACACAAGCGGCCTCCAACTGCTCAATCCGTCGATTCGCTTCGTCTACCGTCTTCTCTAACTCTCTAATCCTCTCATCTTTCTGCTCCTCTCGTTTCTCGTGTTCTTCTACAATTTCGAGAAGTTTCGTCTCGAGACTCTCCGCCAATTCTTTCGTCCGCCCGTAATCCGCGAGAAGCAAGTCGTACTTTGTTTTCCAGTACCTCACATTTGGATCCTCTTCCTCTCCATTCACCATCGGCAATGCTCTGAAATTCTAGAATTCTGCTCTCGTCGAGGTTTTTTTGATTAGAATGTACAAAATATGCGAACAGCAAATAAGCTATCTTATCCAAAACGGGAAGTTACATTAGTGTGACTTTATGTAAGGAGCTTTCAGTGAAAAAAAGCGACTAAAAGTAATAAATATTGCTTAGATTGGTCTATTTTTACAACACAACACAATTATGGAATTCAGTCAATGGGAGAGAAGCGAAAAAAATAAATATATTCAAAAAAGGAGAGAAAAAATGTGTGGAAAACGGGATAGAAAAGAGATATTTATCGCAGATCGTCCTCCTCCTCACCGCCTTCGATAGTGCGCTTCACCTTGAGAAGCAGAGATGTCGACCAATTGTCCAGTCTGGAGAAAAAAAAACATTTTTTGATTAAATTCTCCATTGAAAATTACCTGGTAATCTTATCAAAGTTAGCCACACACTCAGTGTATGCCTCTTCATTTTTCTCATCGATGGCCGCTAACAGCTCTTTGACAAATTTGCACTCGCGTGAATCGGAGAACGCTGGCGAGGCGTTCTCGTATTTTTGAATGGCTTGTTGGGTGTTGATCTGGAAGAGAATAGTTAGGAATTGATGAGTTTTTGCTGCAAGAATAGCTGGAGACAGAGCTTGGAATTTCCTGTTTTTACGACAAAATCTGGAAAAATAGCTGTACGAAGCTTCGTGTATCGGCGTGTGGCGATTCAAAATTTACAGGATTATGCCAAAGATCATTTCGAGGGGGCTTCAGTTTTTGAACTAAATTTTCCGGTTTTTTCAAGGAAAAACGCCTGAAAACAAGGATTCTTAAATCAACAAGCTCATGCCAATTTACGGGATTCGCGTCGATTTATGGACTGTCTTTTTGAACTAAAACACTCAGTTTTCACAACGCAAAACTGCAAAAATAGTTGACAAAGAGCTCCGAAAATCGGCGCTGTCGATTTGAAGCACATTTTTCGTCTAATTCGCCGATAAGTATTGGAGAATTTGCACCGATTCGGTACTGCTAAAGCTAGTTTTGACGAAATTCTAGCGATTTACGGGGCTCCCTGCTTCTTCAACGCTCATGTTCCGCTATCGATGTTTATTGTGGAAATTCAACTCTTGAAATAACACAGCTTGGTCTGATGAGCTGACTTACCGGATCAATACATAAATGACAAAGCAATGCCTGGAAGAAATGTCCTTTAGCCGCATATTTCAGCGTCGAATGATCGGCTTCATAGAAGGCGATCTCCTCGAACACAGCAATAGCCTGTGCGTACTTCTCAAGCTCCGCCGAATACATGGCCACTTTGACGAGACACTTGCTGGCGCTGCTCTTCTGCTCCTCTCCTTTGTAGTAATCGGCCGCCTGCTGGTAGTGTTTGACGCATTGCTCCTTGTCGGGCAGCTCCGTTTCGTACAACTCGGCAATGCTCACGTGATTCTTGGCGGCCATCGTGAAACGACCCCATGTCCGTGTAGATTTCCGACGTTTTTTCGAGACATTGAACGGCGCGCTGGAAACCGGAAGTTCTGGGATTTTTCTGGAGTTTCTCTAGAAAATTCTACACGAACCTCCGGCTGAATCTTTCTAAAACAATTCGCAGCTTCGGCGTATTGTGTGGCACAATCGTGTTTGGAGTCACCTTGTTTCGAGTAGAACTCGGCGGCCTCCAGGAACGCCTCGCCCGCGTCTTTCCAGTTTTTCGCCATTTTGAACAGGTTTCCTCCCTAGAAATTTCGATGAAATTTTCGATGAAAATATAGTGAAAAAAAAGAGGGAAAAGTTGGAGTTTTTATTGATGAAAAATAAGTATTTTTGATTTTTTTTGTTCATTTTCCTCCTCGTCGAACAGCCGTCTTTTTTGGGCGCTCCTCTTGAAAATCGATGTTCCATATGTCTTCGTCTTCTCTTCCTTCACCGTTTACGCTCATATTCTTCATATATATACTCAATCCATAATCATTTTCGAGTTTTCTCCTTCTAGAAGACTCTCCAAGAATAAAATGCACCACCCGGGAGTGCTCATCCCGCGTACGAGTATTAGAAAATTTCAACTCGCAAGTTGGATGAAGGCATCGATAATGAAGGAGAGAGGGATTACGATTCGCTTGAATCTCGAAAAATGGATTGTGCCGTTCGTCGTGATGAACTTCCAGACGATGGGCGGTGTCGAATGCGATTCCGCATTGAGAGCACTGGAATGAGTGTTGAGCGTAGTGTTGTTCGAATTCCAGAAGGTTCGAGGCGATGAATTGGCAGCCGTCGTGACTGCACTCGATTTCGTTTTGTGGGTATTCTTCCTCTTCTTCTTCTTCATCATAATCCATGGCCTCGTGATCATTTTGGAACCCTTGGGAGGAAGAGGAAGGAGAATTATTCACCTGGATAAAGAGATCGGCTGCCTCGCCGCCACCGCCACCACCGCCGAAGAGTTTGCCCAGGAATCCGCCGCCGCCCTGAAAATAATTTTTTTTTGAAGGTTTTAGGCCAATTTAGCCACT